TTATTTCATTCCATCAAAAAAAAAGGTGGTTGGAAATCGGATCCTCGTGTTTTCAGTTTTCCACACATTTTTCTCTCTCGAAAATAGCTTATTTAATAGCTATTTCAGGCAGTTAGTGCTGTGCTCTCTTTCACACGCAGTGCTATGGTTGATATAAAAGCCGTAGAGTCGTAACTCTTTTTAGATTTTCCGCAAATGTTCGCCTCGTATTTTTATGAGCGTACTCAACATTTTTCGAGTTTTGAATACTTTGACGAGGTTTTGCTCAAAGTTGGATTGTTTTTATTTTACTTTTAGCTGTCCAAATTTCGAAAATTTCGAAAGATTGTTGAAAGCTTTCCGGCGCGAATTCGCCGTCCGGTTCACACTGCCCCGTATCTAGAGACGGATTTTTTTTTTCCTTTTTTTTTGCGCGACCCGAAAAAAATATCCGTACACTTTCGCAGAATCCAGCCGGTCTCTTTGATTTTTAAACAAGAGTTACTTGTATCAATTTCCACAAATACCGTACTGCGGCCGGGCGCTTTGAATAGGTGGGGTCCGCATAGTTTCTCAACGGTTTGAGTACGGGAAAATTTAACATTCATTCTTTCTAACGAATTATCTCAGAAAGCGCTGAAGCGTAACGAGATGCTCAGACAAAGAAGAAAAGCCGCTACGGAGCCGGCCCTAATTTTCCAGTTCTTTTCGCAATTTGGAAGATCTCGCAAAATTATAAACTGCACAGCGTGTTTTTTTTGTTCAAAGGGAAATGTGGCAGACTCCCACAGTGTCATTAGTTGGTTCTGCCCATTTGGAAAGAAAATCGAATTTTGAATGATAAATTCTAATTTGGCACTGTGGGAATCCGTTGGGTTTCGGCACGAGCCTTAGACCCAGAGAAACTGTTTCGCCTATCGAGTCAATTTAGCTCTGAACGCGGCATCAGGTTTTTAGTAGTAGGGGTGCTTCCGGAACCCGTAAATTGTAATTTTATTTTCTTCCAACAGATTTCCGAGAGTTGCTTTTTTCTCAAAGATTAAAAGGAGAACACCTAGCTAACCTCAAACCGACAATTCCTTGCTTTTCAAAAGAAAAAAAAAGAACCAAAGTCTGAGAATATGCGTGCTCAAGGAGCAACTGTCCGCCATGGTTTTCGGGCCTGTCATCGCACCTCTTCAGTTTGCGTTCACATTTCAAACACACAAGCTTGGGAAGCTTTCGTTCGGCGTAGTTCCATTAGGTTGGATTTTTTTTATATTATGTCATACTTTAAGTTTTGAATAAGTAGTTAATCTGCAAAGTAGAAACTTGGGATTCGAAGCTTGCTGATGACTTTGGCGTTAAGAAGTGGAAAGGTTTTTTTTTCAAATTTTGTGCATCATTCAGCGCTAGGAAAAAAGTCGATTTATTTCTTGACCATTTTTAAAGGTCGCCAACCCCTCCTCTCGAATTTTTGTAAATTAAAGTCTGTACTACCTCTCAAAACGTTCATTTTTGTCGACACCGCCTCCCGGGGCTTAAAACTAATTTTTAATATTGTTTTTTCAAAAACTTTTGAAGCCAATCTTTCCTAGGCCAGCTGAGTTTTGTACTTTATTACGTATAGTTTCGTATTTTTGAAGGAAAGTCAGAGAAGTCAGATAATCGAAAGGTTTTTCGCGCAGTAATAATTTTTAGCCATTCGGCGTGTCACACAACTCGTCGTAGTTTGGCTCAAGTGATTTGACTATCAGAAGATTTTTTTCTTATAACTACTGAACATTCAATGAGAAGTTTGTAGTTTCTAGATATGGCTTCTGGCCCCTAAAGCTTTCAAATTGTAAAAGAAATCAACCTTTTTTGAATTTGGGTTTTTTTTCTGGCTTTCTCAAGCGGCTATCAAATAAACGAAACTGCGTCCAGAGGTTGAGCAATTTCAAATTTTTTTTCAAGTATCTTTCCATTATTTTGCACCGAGAAAAGAAGGATTTCGAAAGAATATCTAAAAAAAAAATCATAACTAAACAGCCAATCTAATAAAAAAAAAGAAGAACCAGGCCGTGTCAGCACATTATTAGGCAGAGTGGCAAGTGGGCGACAAATCGATGAGGAGACGGGGCCCGTCGCCAGCGGGAGTTTTGTTGCACCTCAAGTTCGGCTTTTTTCTTCCTATTCAGTCTTTTTTTCGAAGCTGTCTTACCGTACATTTCATTGAATTTTCGCGTATTGCAAAGTCTGCCTCAAATTTTGAATATTTCTTTAATATGTACTGTAGAACGTGTCTTAGACTAAAGGTGATATCAGATGATTCCTCAATTTTTTTTTGATTTGAAAGGAACCACTGTTAATACATTTTGACATCAAGGAACTTTTCAAGGTGGGTAACTTTTTTAGCTTTGATTAACTGATCTAAGTCTTATTATAGGGCTCAAACTCTCAAAGCTTTCGAAGGGGTCAATTCATTAGCTTAATATTTTAAAGGATTTAGAAAGGAGCCAAGTAATCATTCAAAAACTTTTGAACTTACCCGAAGTTTTGAAAAAAAAAATCAAGAGGGGGATAGATCAGTCAATAAAGCTTTTCAGATCGAAATTAAAAGGAAATTAATCATCAAATAACTCACGGTTATAGGGTGTTCCCCGAGAAACGGTCACGTTTTTGAAGTGCAGGTGGAAAAAAATTACTGTAAACAGAGCTTTTTTGCACTTTTGCTCTACAAAACTATGGTCTTTTTTGAAAAAAAAAACGGTGTTAAAAGCATATTAATCACCTGATGCGAGGGGATGAGGTAGGTCTTGAAAAAGTTTCCTAATCTCAACAAAGTCAAGATCTATTGAGGGTAGGTCGATCAGTCAAATTTCAGGAGATACCGAGACTTTTTTATCCTCAAGTTTTGCCACTCGTCTCTTTGAAAAAATACGAATCTCAATCTTTCTCTGAACTCTCAGATATAAGTGGTTGCCTAAAAATTTATTTTTCTCTTTGATGATCATGATGATGACTTTGACGAGACGTCAGCATCTTCTTCTCATCTTCGTTTAGGACTTTGCTCATCGAAGTTTTTTTTCTCCTTTTTTGCGACGTCAACAAAACCGCATTCTCTTCTCCCGTTTTTCAGTGAATTAATCTTCGAGGCGTTCTGTTCCGAGTTGGCTTCATTGGGCCTTTTTTAGGTTTCCTACTCTGCCAGATGTTTTCAAAAAAAAATTTTTTGGGTTCAACAGCTTCATACGTCATTGTCTTAAATTAATCTTGATGAGCAAAGCTCGAGAGTAACGTGATGATTTGGAAAGTTCTTGCCGATGGGTGAGCTCTTTTCTCAGGACTTACTGTATGCAATATTTTCGCTATATTCCTCAGAAAAGGCTTTCTGGGGCGACACTGAGCAGTCGCCGCCGACAGGTGATACGGACAGATGGTTGCGCCGTTGTTCCTCTTTGTTCCTTGTTTTACCTTGGCCTTCCGCACATGTCTCTTTTCATCTAATCTTTATCCAATCTGCGACAATGTTATTTGGCGCTATCTAGGTTCTTCATTGCCTCGGTTAACTGGAAGGTGTCTATAAAAAAGAATGTTTCGTCATTTTCTGAAAGTCACAAGAGAATATATATATATATATATTTTTCCTTCGACCAATCATAATTTCCGGTTTTCAGAAGTCATGCCATCGAAGCGCAGTCCAAAGTTTATGGTTTCTTTTTATCCTATTTTATGTCCTGTTATCTTTTTCTTCAAAAACGCTTCGTCTCATCCGTTCTTTTTTCTTAGTTCCACAATAATCGAATCATTTTTTTTTCTCTATTCGCCGAAAAACCAAATAAAGGGACGAAAAAAGAGGCGTCGACTAATTCGATAACTGAAACTTTTGGGCTTTGGCTTTCGGTTGCGGCTAAGTCAATTACACCTCAACCAATTGGCGCTCGCTTTAGAATCGTTCTTTTTTTTTATCATTTGTTAGAGCTTTTCTTTCGCGCGTAGTCTTTTTTAGGAGCTGGAAGAGTATGTTTCATTTTTGTATTTAATAATCATTGAGAAAACATTGGAATCTTCAACTCCTTAGGAAATTTAAAATTTCATTGAAATCTTGTAATTTATTTCTTGAAACGGTCTAGATAACTTAAATGACCGCCACTTCGGTCGAAAAATACTTCTCTTGAGCAAAAGTACTTTTTTAAAATGATTTTTTGAACCTATGAATCATGGTGAAAAAATATTCACCAAAGTGCTGATTATAAGCTTCTATGAATTGTAAACTCCAAAAAGATAGACGCGCGTCTCCGCCTGAAGCGTAGCACGTCCTCGCTCCTCTGACGCCACCAGTGCCCAAGGAAGTGAAAAAAAAAAGAAAAGAAGACCAAGTCGCTCCGACTCCCGTTTTTTTTTCCTTTTTTGTTTGTCCCTTTTCCCCGCTCACCTCGTTTCCGTTCGGATCCATACGATTCAAAATTTTTCCCACCTTCATTCATTCAACTTTCTCCTCCTCGCTCTTTTTCCTGCTTACTTATTCGCTTTGATCCCTTGATTATCCATGAATCATCTATCGACGTTTACTAATTTTTTCCTCTTTTTAAAGACTTTTCTGAAAAATTATTGAATTTTCGACATGAAAGTCAATTCGGTAGTTCTTTTTATTATTGAAGCCTTACAGAATTCAGAATTCAAAAATTCAAAAAGTACCTTTTTTTCTTTCTCATCCTCATTTATTTTTTGTCGGACAAAACGGAAAAGCAAAAAAGATCTTTCAAGGGTCCCCAACATGTTTCACTTGTGAATCTTCATAAAAAAAAATTCTGGAAACCGCCTAAAAAGGTCTCAGTGGCTTTAAAAGGACCCTAAGAGACTTTAAAATTGGTTTTCAAAAGCTTCCACTCTTAGAACTTTGAGCAGGACCTTTTCAGCACCTCCTGAAGGTCCTCAAAAAAACTTTTCCTTTTTTCCTATGTTATTCGAGAATTCTGTTTCTGCGCATACTTTTTCGCTCCTCTCGTTGGCTCCATTTTTTGCTTCATTTTTTTATTGTGCTCTTTTAGCGAAAAGAGATGTCGGTGCTGTTCACCGATAACCCAGGGACAAGTCTCGGCCAGGTGTCGAACCTGTCGACGGAACAGTTTGACTTGGAGGAGAGCCCTTCTTGGGTCGACGACCTTTTCCCCAACGCCACCTTCATCGACTCGCCAACTCACGTCGTTATTCGCGGCTTTTGCCGCAACTGTTTGGTCGCGAGGATACCAGTTTTAGGGTGGGTAGAAGTCGTGAATCACTCACGGAGGCAACAAATCGAAGCATTTTCATGAATATCTGACTAGGAGCTTTTTTTTACTGTCAGCGTTTAGCGATTTTCGATGAGTTTCGCTGGAAATTTGTCCGCGAAATCCCTGTAATGCCGTGTTCTACCGCGAAATCAGAATTATCTGTCACTTTCCAAAGTTTTTCATTTTATTTCTCTGAAGGCTCGTGAAAGCAATTTCAACACGGCATGATCATTCAGAACTAGCTATCGATTGAATGAAAATTTCAAATTAATCGAAAAAAAGCTAAGTTTTTGCAGAGTACGATACTGGGACATGGCGATATTAGTGCCGAACGTGCTGTTCATGGTTTTCCTACTGTGTAAATGTGCGGCAGTCGTCCGGAAACTCAGATCCGGAAACTCACCAGTATTTCGCGCTTTTTTCCTCCTCGTCTACCTGACTACCCTCGTCAACATTGCCAGATGCACGCTGAGCATTGTCATCAGCGTCACAAATCCCTTGGAGGAGATTGTCGATCGGGTTCGCCTTTCACCTCGTTTCGACCTTGGCTTGTTTAAAACGGTTGAGGACAGTGAGATATTGAAAGTTTGAAACAAAAAAACCGGAGCATATTTGCGCCTGTTCAGAACTTGAAATCATGAAATCGCGACCGACGTCCAACAGGGTCATCGCCGTATGCTTGAAATCAAAACGTCAGAATGTGTCAATATTTTCCCACTTACTGTCCAAAACTTTGAAATCACAATTGGAAAAAAAAGAACGATTTTTATGAGTTGAGCTGCTTTTTCTTATTAATACCTCGATTCCAGGCGCTTTGGATCGGTCTGAAGTACTTTTACCTGACCGCGGAACTCTCGGTTCTATCGTTTGCTCTGCTTTTCGGCCATCTGGACAGTGGAACGAGCATCCGGCGAGCCTTGCTTGCCACCGTCCTCTTCAGCTCCATTCACACAGCTATTCAGCTTTTCATCGAACTCCGACTCTTCGACAAGGTAGTTAGAGGCGGTTGGCACTGTGTACTATGTCAGGGTTGCACGGAAGAGAAGACCATTTTGGAAAGAGCAAGATAAAAGAGGAAAAAAAATTTTTTTTGCTGAATCAAAGAGAAATGTTTTGCGTTAAGCTTCATTTCGAGATTTTTCAACGTTTCGTTTCAAAACGGCGTTCAAGCCTTATTTGAAAGAAACTAAATTGAATTTTCTTTCATAAGTTTTCCATTAAAATGGTCAGAAGAAAAATTAATTCATACGGAAATAGATAAGCGGAACGGCTTTTTGAACAAAAAAATCAATTACTTTTTTTAAAACCCACTTAAACAATTTTCTTTTTTTCTATTTTTTTCTATTTTTCCAGTCGTGGTTTGATAATGCCTTCTTCGACGTCCACTCAGAGGGTGGCCTCGTCTTTTGGATGCTCTCATCGGCTACCACAGCTTTGGTTAGCTCTCATAGGGACCGCCCCATCTGATTACGTATATTACAGGTGTATATATTCGTTTTGTGTCTTCCCCTGACGTGCATCCGTAAATACGTCATATTGCCAAGTTTGTGTTCCATAATTCTCACGTTATAAAAAAAGAATGTTTTAGTTTTGAAAAATTCAAGGTGATAAACAGGTTTCCTTTTCAACAAGTTTCATTTTCAAGACCTGTTGGCTGTTATTTTTCAACAGTGTATTGAACTCGCTATTTCTGAGACTCGTTAAATTTACAGGCAAGGCTTCGTTTTACGTGTACTGCTTACTCCTCAGCCTGCTCAACATTACTCAGACTATTGGCGCCATTTTGCTGTTCTTCAAATCTATCGATGGGTTGTGGTTCGTTTTTTTTTCGCCTATTTGGAGTTTTGTTTCCATCTCTAATTTATTGACAAGAATGCTCATTTCATTTTGTGGTTGGAAATTTCTAGAAAGTTGAGAAAGAAAAAATTTTTGAAATTGTTGAACGGCGTCATTCTATTTCGATCTCACATGACTTCATTTTGCAGTTTGGTCGACTTTTCCACATACGCATACTTTTGCTTTTACACACCATTCGTCTACTTTACGTTCCTACGTCGGTCACTCAAGTGGGCATTTGGATTGCTTTCGATTCCCATCAAGTCATCATTTAGGAATCCGCCAAATCACTCGACTGGCAGCATGTTCATGTACCGTAAGCAGAAAGACGAGAATGGCTCTGGCGATCTGCCAGATTCCTACTTCCCACGCTTTTCCGGTTAGTTTTTTTCTTCTTCGTAGTTTTTCTCCGGTCTCTTGAGCCAAGTTAAATACTTTTTCAGGTCTGACTTCACCATCCTACGACGATTTGTTTGATTACGACCGCGATGCGCGCTTCATGCACTATGACATCACTACTGGGGAATACCTGCCGGTGAGTTTATTTTTGAGATCTTCATTCATCCTAAAATATTATGATGACTCTAACTTTCCCGATTATTTTAGCAATTCTTCCGAATTGTAAAAATTGAGTACTTTTCAGAACCCCTACGCGACGCCGTTGATCATGTCGTCGGTGGAGAAGGCGGAGAGCACGGTGACGACCCGAACAGGCTCCGACGAGCAGCTCGGCGGATCGCGCCATCGCGACTCGGTCCTGTTTGACGGCTCCACCGTCCCACGACATCTCAAAGGCCTTGGCGCCAACGGCTCGCTTGTCTTCGAGGAGCAGCCCCGCTGGTATCTTTGAGATGACACCTCTATTTCTTAAGCGACCCATTCGACTGTCTTTTGTTCATTCTTACACATTAAATACGCCAGATTTTAAAAGTTCCCAACCCTTTCGTTAAATAATTTCTTTCAAGTTTACTGTAGTTTTCAGCTCTTCGATTTCTCCTTTTTTTTTTTTACAAAACTATTGCACCCTTCAGTCTACTGTATAATTGGAAAAGTACGATAGCAGAGAAACGTTGTAATTTATTGCCAATAATATATACATATGTGGGTGTCGAAAATCTCGGAACACAAGCCTTAATTTTTCCATTTATCTGGTTGATTATTTCAGTACTTTTGCCCCGTTTCTATTTCTGTACAAACAATTGCTAAATTAATTCACACCGGTTCAACTTCCATTCATAATCCGCATAATACTTTTTATGTCTTTACAACTAAATATCACCGCCTGTTTTAATTGTTACACGGTTTGAAACAATGGAAATCACGAAACGTTGTTGCACATAATAAACGCGTTTTTCGTTTTGTCCAAATTAGGACCTTGCAAAAGAAAATTGGAGAGCAAGAATAAAGTATCTAGTTTGGTCGCTCAAAAATTTTTGTAAGCGGTCTTTAAACATCATCCTTAACTTTGACTCGTGTTCTAAATTAATTTTCGCGGTTCATACATTACGTATACAATTACCTAAACGATCCGAATCATAAAATGATGAAAACGAAAAAAGGAAAATTTTTTCCAATTACACAAGGATAGGATGAAATGTTGACAAAGGTCAGTCCTCTCATTGAATGTAGGAAATGAGAACCAAGTTGCGCGGCGAAGTTTGGAATAAGCAGACACGATCTTCCTGCGTCAACTCATATCTAAATTGGAATATACGTAAGGTGGTTTCTATTTAGTGAATTATTATATGTCAAAAGAGTTTCTATCTCCGAAACTGAGCGAATTCTCACCTGTACCCTCCCCCAACCACGTCAGAATACTCGAGCGTTGCTTTTTGTGGTGGATTGCCAATCTTATAAGTCGTTGAGTTCCCAACGGGCTCCTGAATTTTTTTGAGAAAAAATTAGTGAAATATGCGAAAAGAGTGTCATAAATAGTGCATTAATCTTCCATCTTATTTTCTCAAAAAGCGAATTCGGATATACTATAATGCGTCTAAAAGAATCTCGTGCGTATTTAATAACATAGTCTGTTCAAATTTTGAATTTCAAGAGGCTGACTTGAACCCACCAAATACTATGAACTATATCGCAGCGAGAGTAACGCTATATCGCGGGAACCTCGCAAACGTGTTACGCTATATCGCCTTTTTAAAAATTTTCCTTGATGAATTTTTCTCATGTAAAAGAAAATTTAAAAACTCTTATGTGGGAGCGATATGGCAGCGAGACTTTGACGAGGTTGCAGACTTCGCAGCAAGAAGAATTGGCTATATCGCCTGCGGCCCGATGAGATATAGGCAACTTTCTAGGTTCTTCGCTGGCACACTATCTTTTTATAACGATTAGCGCGACGATGAGCTTTAAAAGCACCGAATTTAAGGCGGTGCTAATAAAGAATCATGATAATTAATCGACACGAAAATTATTGAAGCTTTGGAGGCCGAGTGAGTCGCTTGAAATTCAAAATTTGACCAGACAATATGTCAACCGTGCGACCTCCAGAGGCCGTATGCAAAACACGATGGAATTGAAATAGGCCTCCGGGGGCCTCCGACATGGCTCAGATAGAGCTGAAAGGTTTACTGAGGCCGTATGAAAATAACTTTATTGTATACGACTTCACTACATTTTTCAGCTTTATTTGAGCCATATCGGAGGTTCAGTATACCTCAATTCCATTGTGTTTGGCTCAAATTTCTCTGAGAAATTTCGTTTACTTGACTCTTCGATTTGTCTCAGGTATAAACACGATACTCTTTCGCGATTTGTGTGCCCAAATTTTTTTTCTTTTGCAAAAATAACAACCAACCATCAGAGTGCGAACATCGTTCACCGACATCTTGCTGGAAACTGTCGAAGCTGAGCTGACCTTTGACGAAAGAACAGCAGAATCACTGAAATTGTCCGCAAATGATGAAAAAGTGAAAAATAAGGACTCCTTAAAAACCAAAAAGAAATAATATGAAGAAATATCACAGAAAAGAGACGTTCAAAGTAATTTCAACGGACTGAAAATAACCGTCATAGGGTGAGAAATACAACAATAATTTTGAAAAGCCAAAGATCATTTCTATTTCGCCGAAACATTTCTTAAATAATTTTTTTTAAAGTTCATTTTTTTCATTGATTACCTGCTAGTCTCTGTGATTGCCACATCGCTGTCCGATGTTGTCGATTTCGAAGAACAGTATTTGGTCAGAGGTCTGTGAAAGATCATTTTAAATGAACCAAACACTCTTTTCAGATACGACATTCGAAAAAGTTTGGGAAAAAATTCTTTTACACAAACTTCTGACGACTCCTGTTGTAGGGGTGAAGAGGAGCCTCGCGGTCAATTTTTCCACGCTTGAGCAACGCAATCTCATCCAGAAACTTTCTGGAATTATCAAAAATTTATTAGCAAATATTCAAAGACAAACGAATTCACCCATTATTGCATTTGTCGGACATGAGTGAGTAATTCGTGGAGAGAGGGCTGTATTTACCATTTGCTGGGATGTTGACGCACTACAAAAACATTGAAATCAACTTTTTTTTTTCCTGAAAGGCCACAGAAAGGTAGCAAAGAGAGGCTCTTTATAGACCCTTCCATTTTTTTTTTCTGGGATTTTCAAGGCTCAATGAATGTCTTTACTCTGAACATATGGATGGAGCCTTTTTCGACCCTATCCGATTTTGCCTATGGACGTTGAGTGGACGTGGCATGTCTGCACTCTGCACTAACCCGGCACTGTATCTTTTATTATCGTGTCAGGATCCTTTTTTTTGATGGCTCAAGCCACCCGTGAATCAGCTTTATGTATATGAAAAATGAATAAGAAGAATATCTCAAAAACAGACCTTCAAAAACCAATGTCATGTTTCTACCTCAGATTATTGAGAATATCTAACGCACTTTATGACAAACTGAAATTGAAAAATCATAATCTCGAAAACCTCGTTGCCCTTCATGTCAAACGTGACGCTTCCATTGAACTCGGAAAAAGCCGTCGAGGGGGCTTGACATGACTTCCTCGCACCCTTGCTCGTGGAGCACTTCTTGCGAGACAGCATTTGAAAAGGTGGTTGATTCCAAGGGTTGACAAAATATGGTAATGACAGATGGTCTCACGTCAAATTAACAAAAACAAAAAAGATTATTATTCATGTTTTATTTTTTTTTTGTTTCTTTATTTTGAATTAATGGTTAACCCGATTAAAACGCTTTCGTGGTTAAAAGCCATGAATAGAGAATATGATAGGTAAATCTAAAAAAAAAGTTCAAGGTATGTGTAAAATTGAGAAATAATGAATGACAATTTTTCAGACTTCGTGCAGATATTAAAGAAGTTAGCGAAACAAAACCTACTATCAAGGAAATTTGAAGAAAACTTGGCGGCCGGTCATTATTGCACACTCTGTTCAGGAACAAGGATATTTTCAAAAAATTTTCCTTTTTTTCACAATTTGTTTATGACCAAATTCTGAAGGCAACGAGAGTCTTAGCGTCTTAATGAGCACAGTAAGTGCTGTTTTATTACTGAAAAGAAGTTTTCACTTTTTTTTTCTTTTTTTTTTTCTTTTCTATTGGATCACGACCCGGCGCCCTAAACAGATGTGATCTATAGTGACCAAAAAAATTGATGATCAGCTACATCACATTCGAAAAGCGTTATAGTGCAAGAAAAATACAACGAATTTGGCTATTCAGTTCGAGAAAAGCTGAAAATCAGTGCATTTCGGCGTCTTCGGTCAAGTCCTCCGACATGGCTTCATCGGCGGACTGTGGAGGCTTGCAGCAGATGGCTCCCGCGTGTTTGCGGTCGAACAGAGCGCGTTTGACAAACTGCGAGATCCGCGCAGCTTCCAACTCGTCGCCAACAGTTTCCGCATCCGTCACCACCTGCCAAAAAAAACTTCTTTCATTAAAACAGTACTGACCGAGAAAATTTCTTTTTTCTTGCTGATAAGGTCCTCTCTAAGTATGAGCATTTTTGATGTACGGAAATAACCAACCTTTTCAAGGCCTTCCAATCCATCAACGTTTTTCTCGGCCGTCAGAAACTTTCTTTCGAGCTGGAAGATTGATATAATAGCTCTTTTAAAAAGGAAGTTAAGTCACAATACTGAAAAAAAAAAATTTATTCTAACCTTTTTTTTATTATACTTATCAACGCGATGAAAAACAGATCAATAATTTTTGATGATGATAATAAAGATAAATTAAAGGAAAACTTTGATTATTCTTCTCATATAATAAGAATAATTAATTATGAAGAAATAGAAAGAGTCCAAATCTCACCGCCGAGAGCTTCTGCGCGATGTCCTTCATCTGGTTATTTATGAATTCGGCGTTGGAAAACAGCGGAGAAGTGCTCAAAGTGCTCAGCCAATACGTTTTCCACAACGTCTTCAAGATTTGAGCATCTGAAGTTGCGTTGGACAGTTTGGGACTTGGAAAACGTATATCCTAGTCCAAAGAAATTTTGTGAAACTCAAAACAATTGTCAGAAGGTGCAAAAAGATACCTAACTTTTGGAGAACCAGAGATTTAACTTCCGCGAAATTACTTTGAAAACGACATAATAAGTATAAAATTACCCATTTCCGATTTGAAAAACGAAATTTCCAAAGAATAATATCTTTTGCAATGAACGCCGAAATCTTCAATCTGAAAAAAAAAAGGATTATTTTTGAAAAAAAATGTGAAAGATACTTTGTTCAAAGGAATCGATTGATATTCAGATGGAGAGTCGTTTGGTGGTCTGTAGCCTTCGGGATACGTTCGGAAAGCCCCGATATCGACCTCAAATATTAACATTTGATATTTTCACGGTCCTCTCTTTAAATAATTTCAACAACCTAATTGAAAAGCAATGTTCATTATTTTCAAAAGTTTCTGGGAATTTCTGCTAATTTTTAAACTTTCTATTTTGTCTATTTCATTTTTAATAAATCCTAGTAGATGTCACTATAATAATTTCTTCGTTTTGAATAAATTATGATGAAATGATGGTTCAAAAAAAGAACACGAAGAAATAAATTAAGCTTTCAATCATTTTTTTTCAATTCAAAACATTTCAAAACCGATTGAGTTCGGAATTCTCCATGGATAACTATATACTATATAAAAATAAATGTTCCTCAACTTGATGGTAAAAAAAAATTTACTTCAAAAAAAAGCTTACTTTAAGAACCTGCTTGCGCAAACTAGATAGCTTCATTTTCTTTAAATAATCTTGAAAATTCGACAATCGGTTGAAACATTTCAAAAATTAAGCAAAAAAAACCTTCCCAGCGCTCATCGTTCTCAATGGATCGATGACGATAGCCACCCAGGGCTCCTGGTACTTTTGATTCAGAGTTTGTGTCGACACGTCGATCCCAGAGAGCCAGCATCCATAACCGGGATGTGAATGATACCACCCGACGACCTCAACCAAAACTGTTTCTTCAAGGCTTGGAGTCTTTTCACCTTCTCTTTACGATTTTCCGTATCGCAAAGATCCGTATAGATCGACATGTACTCGTAGGCTTGGGATTGCGCATTGACTCTGAATAAATACCTTGAAAAAAAGAAAAAAGCGTCGAGTAATTTTGCAATTCATTTTTTTTTTTGTACATGACTCAGTAAACTCCGTGCTTTCACGTTTTCCAATCAACATACTTAAAAGCATTGTCATTTTCTCATGCCGTGTTCAAAGTAATTTCCGCGAAATGCAAAATGATCTCTGACTCTCCAAAATTTAGTTATATTTTCTTTCTCTGGCGGCAATTTTGGATTTCGCGAAATCACTTTGAACACGGCATCAATCAACGAATTTTTAGTTACCTATTTTTTTTTATTGAGGAGACTGAAAAAGGAGATTGAATGTTTCAGTCGACAAATTTTTTTAAAAATAAGTTTGTCTCTCAATAATGAGAAATTTTGAACTCTAACAAGAACTTGAACGATACGAAGAGAACTTTTAATAGATATTTCACCTCGTTTCCGTGCCTTCAACTGGAAGTGCAAAGGCGTCGAGAATAATCAAAGAATTCGCGTCGATTCTTCCTTGCATCAGGCCCATAACCTTCAAGTTTGAACTTTACATTACTATAGAAGATTCCACGACGTTCAAAGAACAGAAAAAAATAAATGAATTATTTTTTTTTGATAGCTCAACGAAAATCACCTCTAAATTTCCACCCCGCTTCGCGTGCATGACCATCTTGAGCAATGCGATTGCCGAAACTTTCACCTGAATCGAAATACTTGGAATAAAAATACTTGAAAACGGAAAAAGTTCACCAATTATGTGAAAAAAACTCATACAGTGAACCGTTTTTTTTTAATTAGAAAGGTATTATTCCATAAAATTGGAAATGTATGATAAAGAAGGAGGTAATAACAAGAAATTAGGTCAAATTGGCAGAAAAAAATTTTTCTGAACGATTGCTTTTTTTATTCTCTTCAATTCGACAAAATATTTTTTTAAATTAAAGTGAATCCTTATCGAAGTTGAGGCAAATATTACTTTTTCCGGTTCTCTTCCTTCGCGCCACAGATCTGTCGTTGAGCGAAATAAACATTTCATTTTAACAGTTCTGGTATTTCTCATACTTAAAAAAATAGTCAATCAAACCTGTTTAAAATAATGAGGGTCCTTGTCCCAAGGCTTGGCCTGACGAATTTCGTTTTGCATCACGTCGTTATATTCATACACACTGTCCAGCGTAGTTATCTACTTTTTTCAATACGAAGTTTGTAATAAAGTAGAAAAAAAACATCTTTTGAATATAAACCTGATTGCTCATTTCCCAATTTCTCTGGGGAACTGAGGCGGTAGTCGGCCTGGCATTGTCCACTTCCATTCTTCTAAACTCTTATAATCTAACTTTTGACCGTTTAGAAAAAAATTGCAGGCACAAGAACCTCAAATTTGCTGAAAAAAATGTTAGTAAAATATTTATTAATTTTTCACTGACATACGGAAGTTTTTACAGCACGAAAACGATTCAAAAAAAAAAACAAGGACGAAAGTTCGTTCAAACAGGATTTTTTTTCAGACTGTTCAAAAGAATGTTTCCTATCACAGCGTAATGCAGATTCTTACAAAGTGGTATATGAAAAAAAGCAGAAAAACTAAATGAAGTTCAGAAATGATTTGGTCTATCAAGGCCCGTCCCTAATCAGCACAAAACAATTGGATAAACGAAATTTTCTATGAAAATATAGTAATAATGGCAAAGTTCATTTAGTCGGACACGGGTAACGGAAACCGGATGTTTCTGAGAAATTCTAGAGATAACTTAAGAGCGCTGACACCCCTAAAGTCCGGTTCGCGCTACTGAAGTCCGAGTATAAAGGAAGGATGAAAAAATTTAGGACGAAAAAAGAAGCGAAAATTGAATAATGAAATGAATTCAAATTTCGTTCTAAAAAAAAAAAACTAGAAAAAGGTTAAAAAGCGCTAAACAGTTAGAAGAAATTAGTTTTCAGGTACTGAAAGCGCAATAACGCGCTCAAGATTCGGTGAAGACCGAGGTATCGGAACTCTATGAGAAGAAGCATTACCATGCGAAAATCTCAACAAACTAGCGTCATTTGAATGAAAAATATTAACAAAAGAAGACTTTTTTTTTTTCTGATATTCAAATCTGAGCAAAAAATCAAAAGACCATATAGGGACTACTGCACGCTTTGAACAGGTTTGATATACCGGCTGCGTGAAAACATATTTTCGATGAAAAAGCCAAAAAGAGAGGAAACCACGACCTACTTCGAATCTTGACACGCTCTCGCCCCTCAGGCACCGGCAGGTGAACGCGAGTGAATTCCGGCTTTTATTTTTGCCGTTTGATTGAAAAAACCTCTTTCAAATGCGTTATGCTTATTTTTGCGGTCAATAATATCCTTTCTTAGTTGTAAACCCGTTTCAAGAACTTTTGAGCAAGTATTTCGAACAAGAATTTTCGAATTAAAAATTTGAAGGTTGACATTTATGCTTTAAACTTGATTTGAATCTAAACATCATGGTCATTGAAAAAAAAAAATCGGAACATATCAGCTTCTTTAAGTTATAAAGGCCAAAAAGGGCAGAGACACCCGGCGCGTCCCCGCTCGAAATGCCAGTGCTTGAGTCTCCAGATCAGAAAATTAAAAGAAAAGTGTTTGCACAACGTCAAGTCCGCAGGCGGCACAGCCGCGCTACCGTACTTCAATAATATCGAGAAGAACAAAACACAAAAGTTACCCTGAGAATCATCTGATGGAGAAGAAATGAAGGAAAAAAGTACACTGAAAACTAAAAGAGAACAACCGAGAAAAAAAAACGACCCGTGATGAAGCCTTGGAAAGAATGAAACGGGTTTCTGTTTTCATATATATTTCATAAGGTCATAGGATTTTCGTTCATAAAGAGGCCGCTCGCGTTCAATCTTGATCCCTTCTGCTTCGAGAACAGACTGTTCGTCGCGCAGGTGAGCGATCTAAAACGTTTTTTTATCAGTTAAAATAAGTATTTCCGACTATTTTTTTTAGGGTCTTAAAAAATTGAAACCTTGGCAGTGATATTTTTCAAGTAAGGATGACGCATGGCGTCGGCGGCAGAGATGCGATCCCGGCCCTCGTACTGGAGGAACTTGACAAGAAGCTCGTAGCCGTAGGTTTCGAGACGCGGGATCTGAGGGTACAGCGGCTGGTGGTGGTATTCGCGGTCACTGTAGGGCTGGAAGGCCGGCCGCTCGCAGATCGTCGGATGCCGGTCCGGTCGTGGCGCGCCAAGCGTTCTTCAACATACTTTCTTACAAGAAAATTCATTTCTTTTTGTGTTATTCTATAAAATAATGACTTTTCAAACTTGAAACAACCATATCTCATTTTTTTTTTACCTACCTCAACAGTCATTTTCGAACAGAGATACAAAATTGAGAAAAAAAATAAAATCTAGTGGCCGAGTTATTCGCCAATAAGCCAAGTGAATCGAGACGTTTCTCAGTGATATTGTTCACAAGTTTCATGTCTATAGTCAACTTTGAGAGGATGGGTAGATTGGAAGGGTAAAGCGTTGCGTAAATACGCGACGCGGCAGTTATTATTATGCCGTGTTCAAAGTAATTTCCGCGAAATGCGAAATTGTCTCTGACCCTCTAAAATTTAGTTAACTTTCTCTTTCTCTGACGGCTATTTTGAATTTCACGGAATCACTTTGAACACGGCATTAGTGAGCGAGTTTTCCTTTCGCAAAGAGTACTGTATGTGGAAGTCCGCATTCGGCGCGTGCACTTCGCGTGTTTGCACAATGCGCGTAGTTCATCTCCTTTTTTTAAAATTCTTATTTTAAAATTTTTAGCTTCGTTTAATAATAATGTAGAGTCAATAGTTGGTCCAACTCCACTGTTTTGTTGATTTTTAATATTTTTAATCTACTTCCATAAAATTTAAAACAAAACTGAAAAAAAAAACGCGGATATGGACCACTCGCAAAGTGCAAACACGCAAAGTGTGCGCGCCAAATGCAGAACTTCGCATACAGTAATCTTCGCAAAAGGAAAACTCGCCTTTGTCAAAGTACCCTTTTTCCATGGTCTTATCAGAAGACGCGTCACCCTTGCTAATCTGGGTAGATATCGCCTTTCAAGAGCGGGAAGACTGACTATATATTTATTTTAAGTTGAACCTGAAAATGAGGCCAAGCTGCTGATCGACAGTAGAGCCAGGAAACAGAGCTCTTCCTGTGACCATCTCGAATAATATACACCCAACGCCCCACATATCGATGTGCGTTGAGTAATCAGTTGAGCCTGAAAATGTTTAAATGCAATCAATACTGGGATTTATTGGATACCTAGTAAAACGTCGGGCGGCCTATACCACAATGTCACAACTTCATTCGAGTAGGTTTTAGTCGGTACGGATTTCGCTCGCGCCAGTCCGAAATCAGCCAGCTTCAGTTCTCCCTGAAACTTTCAGAATGAAAAAAGTCGCCAGCTAGAAACAATATTCTTGTCAAGGATAGCAAAATGTTTTCGTACTTTGGCGGTAATCAAAAGGTTCTGTGGTTTCAAGTCACGATGGAGGACCCTCCTTTGGTGACAGTAGGATAATCCGCGAAGAAGTTGAACTAGGAAAAGCTGAAAAACAAAGAGAAGAAAAATAAAAAACTGTGGGGGGAAGTCTAACCCGGATATTGTTCATATTCAAGTAGTCGTTGAATGAGTCCATGTATTGCTTCAAGTCCCGGTCGACGTATTCGAAAACCTGGAAAACGTATCATTTTCGGTGCTACTACAAGAGTTTTCCTTTGGCAAAAAGCACTGTATGTGGAAGTCCGCATTTGGCGCGCCCACTTTGCGTGTTTGCACATTGCGCGTAGTCTATCTCCTTTTTTTCATTTCAGTGTGTTTAATCAATATGAAGGGTGAGAAAATACATATGAGGAGGACATTATTGTTATTTTGAAATTTTTAGTTTTTTTTTTTCATAATAACTCAGAATGAATCGTTGATTCAATTCAACTGTTTCCTTAAGTTTTAATCTATTTTCATGAAATTAAAAAAAAAACTCGGAAAAAAACGCGGAGATGGGCCACGCGCAATGTGCAAACACGCCAAATGCGGACTTCTACATACAGTACTCTTCGCAAAAGAAAAACTTGCTCAAGTCGTAGTACCAAAATTTTGAAGAACTTCAGCTCAAAATCTCATTCAAAAAAAGAAAGAAAACAAAGTTGCTTGGAAAGTTATTTATTGAAATAGTTCATCAAATGTGTTTTTTTAAACTAAAAATTCAATTGATTGTTGAAAAATATTCAAAGCTTATTATTAATTTACATTATTTTCAACTTATTTGAGTTCAGCTATAGCCCACTCGAGGATGGTTGAGCCATTAAAGAAAGAATTTAACACAGTTTAATTTATTCCGGCCAGCCGTGAACAGGCAACTTATGTTTCAACTTTTTTTTCAGTTTTTAGAACTTCACAGACTTTTTCTGAAAAGAAAGAACGAACTAGAGTAAGAAGTCGATCGGTGTGAATAATATCATGAAGGGTGACGACGTTGGCGTGCCTCAGATTTCTCAGAAGCGATACTTCTCGGATCGCCGTGCACGGCGCGCCTTCCTCTTGTTCTAACCGTATTTCCTGTAAAAAGTAATGCCTTGTTAAATATTAAGTTCCGAGGATTATTTTTGTTTATAACTCCTTTTAAAATCTCAAAAACTCTTTTAATGCAAGACAGTTCAAATCACTATAAAGGCATTCGAAACAGGCTCACTATAAAACATCGCGACATTTTGACAGCTCATTTGAAAAATTAGCTACTTTTTTTTCTCTGACGCCTTCGTATAGTCTGGATGCCACGACACGGCGGCTTTTCCAACGACGCGCTTCGTGGGCCGCACGCAGCGAAACAGCGGAATGTCGTTAAGTAAAATTTCAAGTCGTGGCACGCAGACTATGCCGTCACGATGCCTCTTCTAAGGTGCTTCCGACAGCGTGAATCATATAAAAAATTTCACTACCTTGAGGGCTACGAATTTGTTCGTCAATAGCGATCTTCCGCGGTAAACTGTCGCGTAGGTTCCTTCGCCGAGCTTTTCCAACTTCTCGTACGTTTCCAACTTGCCAAAACCGATTTCGCTCTGAAAATGAAACTTTTTTGTCAAAAAGATACCCTGATTTTTATTTCTGGAACTTTATTGCGTTTTTTTAAAATGAAAAAACGATTCGTCTCACGACCCATTGATCATGCGCCTTTAATATTTCCTGTTGTTGACGCGTGTTTCCCATGCCGTCACATGAGATCGGCAGAATTTTGGCTCCCTTCCCATCGTTTTTGGTTTTGCATTTTCCTCCACTAACAAAAACACCGTTTAATAAGTGAACTTCACTGACAATCAAAGTCCCCGCGCCTATCGACCCTTGCAACTACGGTGCCATAAATTGACTAGAACCAAAAAGATTACTTTCTTCTACTTCTTTGGGCTCAGTAGGTCCTAACACGGGAAGTCATTTTACTTTGGGGTCTGGAATTTCCTAAAAATTTTCTTAAACGATTTCTGAAGGTTAATATGATCACCCATAAAAGTTGCAACCCGCGCCAGCTTCTAGTTTTTAAGATAAACAATTTTGAGGGTCGGAAACTGAGGCCTAAAAAATTTTGAAAAATTATATCTAAAAAACTAGGTTTGCGCAGATAGCGATCATGAGGAATCTCCATCTAGATCTAGAAAGAGTGTTTGAGCGAATTTGTATGAAATTCTAAACCGTAAAATGAATGACCTTCCTTGTAAAGTACCCTTTCATCAAACTCCAATACCTCGACATTTTGCAATTTCCGTGAATGAAAAACTAACCAGAGAGGCACGGCGGTTTTTTCTCGTCAGCGGTTGGTCTAACGTCGGCGTTCGGTTTAATTTTTCCACAACGGCGACTGGTAGTCGGAGGTCAGCAGGGAGCGAAAGACGCTTTTGGATTTCCTCCTGAAAAAAAAATCAATTACTTTTCCAAGGTACGGCAGCTTCTACCGTAAGATCCATTAATTTTATTTTTGCTTTACGCTTCGAGTTATTCAGATGAAAAACCCACATCGTTATATATCCGAAAAAAATCTAACCAGTTGAATTCTTTAATTCTCCGATTCAGTGACAAATTCCGTTTTAATTTTGAGGAACTTGTTTATTCGTCTATGCCACTATAGACACATCGGCCAGAAGAAAAATTAAAAAAATCCCTGATCTATCAATTTTTTTTTCTTGTCGTAACGTTCCTACTCACTAGGGAACGTTTTTTACGGGAACAAGATCTATTGCGAGTAAATTTTTCAACAAATGTATTTCCTGACCATTTCCTTTTTGCACAACTTCAATTAAAAGTGATAAATAGGGAAATCAAATAAAAACGAACCTCACTCCATTTTCTCGAAGGCTTCTGACGCATCTTCACGTTCACGATATACCTTCAAAACAGCAACTTTTAAAGAAAAAAAGAATAGAAAATGAGTGACGCATAAAATAAAAAAATATTTAAATTTGAAAACTAAGGTCGTTCCGGAAAAAAACTTTGCTTTTAATAATAGGCCTTTCCTGTTCTCGTCATGAAACGAACTAAATTGGTGAAAAAAAGTCTTTGCGGAAAAAAAGTTTAGCGAATTCTAAATTCATTCTTAACAAGAAAAAACCAAACATTTTTAAATATTTTCGTAAAACTCTCGAAGCAACTATTGCGTCTCGGTGTCTACAGCCATTGCAAAACTTCACGCGCACGCTTTCCTGTGACGTGTTCGAAGGCGATTTCGAGTTGTTTTTCGTTCAAAATGATCATGCAAAGAACTCGAAATAGGCATTTCAAAAAGCCCAAACAATTCCAACTGGATTTTCACGCGTAAAACTCACAAGTCACTATCATTTTTGAAACCAATTTTTGTGACCGTTCCTCGAATGCCGATTTTGTGTATTATTTACATATTTTGGCCGCCATACGGTGTTTTGAGAAAATGAAAAGAAATCCAGTTGAAAAACTAGAATAGAAAGGCCTGAATTTTCGAGGGTTCCCCTTTTTGATTTGTTAGAAGGAAAACCTTGGCGGAACGCCAGTGGGCGTTTGATCCGACGTGCAAGGAGAAACTTCGACGCTTTCACCATCTGACCCTAGGACCGTTGCTTCTTGGACTACCGCTGAAAAAGCAATTTGTAAACTAGAAACATTTATTTCTAGTGAACTATGAAAGTTCTTTTTTCAATCCGAGAAGAGAGGTTGGTGCTTTTTGTTTTCCTTACGACAGCATTGAACCAAAAAAAAAACCAGAAAGTTTCGTACAAAGAGAAACAGAAGGACGTATGTAGGAGCGATGCTGAGAAGCAGAAGACGACGTGCCGCTGCGCCTTTTGTTGACGAACATGTTGAGCCAAGAAGTAAAGGTGCTGCTTCGTTTCATCAAGTCGCCTTTCTTCTTCTGCCCATTCCGAATCTTATTCTCCTCGATCAGTTGTTCTGACGTAGGTGTCGTCGTTCGCTCTTCTTCTTCCTGCTCGTCAAACTCGACGTCCGGATTCGGATGACTAGAAACGACGTCGTGGAGGACCATTTGTCCGAGATAGTCGGCAGTGATGTCTTGGCCGACGACCACGACGTCGTCCTCGTCCTCGTAGCCGTCGCTACTGCTCGATTCGGCCGGCGGGTAGTCCCAGGCGCCGGGATAACGGTCGCGCCATGGCATGATCAGATTCTCGTCGTGCGACTCGCTGAAGCTGTGGAACGTCGCGGACTTTGACATACCCGACGGTCTCTGGTCATCAGATGCATAGAAGGCCATAACGGCTTCTGCAATGTCTTCTGGTGAGCAAAAAGGTCTTGGAAGTCCACGATTCGCGTGTGGAGAAATAACAAATGCAAAAAAGACGAAGGAGTATGCATGAACGTTGTATAGAAAGCCCGAGTAATCTAGAAACAAAAAAACTAAAAAGGTAGTGAAATTTTTCAAAAATAGCTCCTGATGGGACCTGTGTTCTCAACTATTTTTGGGGAATGACCGAAACATTCTGATGAAAGTTATTCAGTACCAAGGCGCTAAAAGTTTTTTGAGGCAGAAAATGGGCCCAAACATTTTCAAATAAGAAGGCAACACAAAATCGAGAGAATAAAGAATTTCCGAACATCTAGAAGTCCAAAAAATGCCACGTTATCAATAGATTTGTGATTATTTGGGAATGAGAGTTATGGCATATATTTCGTAACTTTTAACCGCAGATAATAGTGTGAAAGATCTTTCTGGATTGCTTCTGAATGATTCTGAAATGCAGAAAGCTCAAATCAAAAGCATTACTAGCGCAAGAGAATGAGTTATTAGGAGAGAAAAAAGAGAGTAGGAGTGGCCTTGTGGAGCATGTAATGCAAGTGTGAATTGAGCAAGAGCTGCTCGAGCCCACCGCAGAAAGACGCGCGCGCGTGGGAGTGATGAAGGGGGAAGGCTGAAGCTGCTGCTGAATGAACGTCGTCAGCAGCGCTAGCTGATCGATTTTTGGCAAAAACCAGACCAAGAGGACTCCGGGCTCTCCCTCTCTACGGCTTCTTCTCACACTAGAACGTACTAAAAGTAATAGAAAAAAAACCCTCAATTTCAAGGTTTCTTCGATTTTTGTTTTCATTTCAAAAAAGAAAGGTCGACGCGTTGCGTAAGCGAAGCGGCTTTTGGCGAGCAAACGCAACCGTGGAAAAAATTGAGAAAAAAAAATTAATTATTGTTGTTATTCGTTCAACTAAATTTCTAAAAACCAAATACTTATATAAAAACAGTTAGAAAAACAATTGAAAAAAAAAGAAAAACATTTTGAAAAAAAGAAAAACACGCGTTTGACCTCGAAACTCCCGCCAAAAAAACCTCGTCACGTAAGCAACGCTTCATTTTTGAAAATTCACCTCTCCTGCCTTTCAAGTCGAAAAAAATGTCTAGTTTTCCGGAGAACCACATACGCATAAACTCATCACGAAAAAAGAGGATATCTTTATGCCCTTTTAAATTGACTTCGAGCCCAGGTTAAAAGTGAAAAAGTTTTTTGAAAACATGTATCTCGGCAAGTTGAAAAAAATAAATTTCTTTGAAAGAACGGGTAAAACTTCATAAACTGGGAGCATCCTAGAATGGCATACAAAGTGTAGAAAAATACATCAAAAACTATGACATTTGTCCTCTTTAATGAATTGAGTTTCTAAAAGCGAAAGAGAAAGAGAGAGAGTTGAAAGTTGGAGTGCGAAAAGGAGAGGAGGGCCACTGATTGCCAATTCTTCATCCAGAAGAGAGGCGCTAACGAATTTGACGATATTTAGTGTCCAGCGCCACCTTTCATCCGAAAATGAGGACGCATTTGCAAGTAGTTTTAGCCGGTTGGAGAGCTTAAAATTGGCTCGAGGGAAGATGTTAGATTGTAACGGCCAGGGATTCCAGGCTCCATGCAAGTCTAATTTTTGAAAAAAGAAAAGTATAGATTTAATAATCTTCACCATTGCCTTCACAAGGGCGATCATTTTACATTGCGGTTGGGAGTTCTCTGAAAATTGCAACTAGGAAAACTCTTAGTTCTCAATACCAAATGTTTTAGAGTCAAAAAAAAAGTTCTGCTGAATGAGTTATTTAAACTTATCGAATTTTCAAAAATAGCAAGTCGTGGAGACTGAGATTCGGAATCTCGTAAATGTTCATATCAGCTTCGACGAAGTTCTCAACCGCAAAAAAAAAACGGCCTAGAAATAAAAAAGCAGCCATAACCATTTTCGAAATTTTGCTGATGAACCCTATGAGAATCTTTAATCCTGCCTGCCCATCATTCAAATCCCAAGCACTCAAGATAAATGCATCCGTTTCATTTGCTAAAAATACGTTTTTATTTTATTTCGGTGCGCATAGTTATTGACGATCTAATATTATTCAAAAACAATCTTCTCAATCCTTTTTAGGCTTACAAAAAATGATGGAAAATCGAAAATTCGTTTGAAAGACTTGATAGGCGAACGGAAAAGTAAACGAAACAAAATTCAAGATGTGGAAAAAAAAATAGACAAAGTGAAGATCTTCAAGTCCCTCTACGTTTACTAAGAAACTGCATAAGAAGCTATTCTTAAAATTACAGTATTCTTCTTTTGTCCTGATATCCTTCCAAACGGCTTAGATCTCCTTGAGCACCTTTAAGGTATTGAGAACAAAGAGATAATTTTTTCTTATGGTTAGGATTTTTATTAAAACTCGAAAGAATTTGAAAGGATTTGACCTAATCTGTGGAAAACAGTGTAAATAGACGAGAAATGAAGATAAAACTTGTAGCTGATACATTTTTCTCATTTCTAAATTAACAGTTCCAAAAATATAAACCTACTTAACGAAACAGTTAAATAACTTGAAAAATGTGATTCAAATGATCGAAAGTTATTATGAAGTTGAGCTTGAAAGCTCATGAAACATATAATCATTAAGCTCAAAATTATTCATCAATGTTCTTTCAAGATAAGTTCACTCAGTTTCGGAAAATCTTCATAAATAAACACAAACGAGAGCGCGCAGTGGACGAAAAATAAAAAGAAGAAGAAGCCAATCAAATCAACTCGAGGAAGTCGAGAATATTTTTCTCCTCTTATCGAGTAAAAAAACTAACACTGCTGACGTCAAGAAACGAGAATTAGATTTACGCATTTTCTCGATTCGATGAATCCTCAGGAAATTGAGGAGCGGATTGAAGGATGTGCAGTTTCGATTTTAATTTTTATGACTACACGACTACTCTGAAGAATAATGAGATGAATGTTGAGCTGATTCTTTAGATATAATTGTGCCTTTTTAAAAGATTATTACTTGAAAAGATATATGTGATAAACTGAATCAAAAAAAAAATCAATGAAAAGAGCTGAGCTATATTGAAACAAAAAAGAGAAGTGTTGCTGGGGACAGGGTCAGCCACCATCTGGCAACATGATGGTGCTGGTCTTCTAGGCAGCATTTCCAGATGTTCGAATCAGTCAATATGCAGTGCTCTTTTTCTTGGAACCCTGCTGACTATTGCACCCCTTATTGAACCGAGAAACAGATATCAATTGACGTATCTTCATTTGAATACCACGTTATAACACGCAAAATATAGTGATCGACTAGCAATAAATTCACTTTTTCATGTTTACCTTACTATAAAATATCTTCGGTTTAAAATAAAACGTCTGAAAAATAAATTGGTAAAAACTGCTGAGAATGCGGTTTTAGGCCACTTTTGAAGCCCATCTCTCTAGCCATTGAGCTATCAAGTTTCAATTGCTTTTCTCTCTCTCTTTTTTTGTGCTTATAGTTCGCTTTTTTTCGACTTAGACTTTTGATGTTTTATGGAATCGCGATTCGAAAAGCTGAAATTAATAGTTGAATAATGAGTCGATGAAAAAGTCCGAACAAAAAAGTTGAATGCAATAAGCTCAGAAGATAAAGACAAGCAGATACAAAACTACCAGAGGTGAGCAAATCGAAACGAAAAATATTGATTTTCTTCAAGAAACTCTAGATCGAGAAGAAAAGTTGTCCATTTGCCAGAAACGACTTTGAAACGTGCGGCCGACCGTGTGAGGCAGTCCGGTTCCGCGACCGACCAGCACAATGCGTACATGTGGTGGCGGGGTGTGGCGTTTGGGAAGGCGGCCAATAGCACAGGTTAATGGATACTCGTGCCGAGAAACTGGTCCCACTAGCCCCAGCCATCGCTACGGCAATTAAGGCTTTAGGGTTAAAATCTAAGTCCCTAACTCTCAAAGACAAAAGCACTCAGGTTTATTCGAGCTTGCTTTGTTTGAAATTTATGTTTAAAAAAGTTCTTCTGACGTGTTTTTGATTACGAAAAAAGTTTACCTAAGGTCGATTGCATCTGAATACTTATGGTTCTGAAAAACCAACGGGGTCTTCCTGAGTTCTCTCAATCTTTTTTTTTTATCGTCAGAGAAATTCTTACAAATGTCGAGAACTTACTACCCGCCAACACCATCATCATGCTTAGTTAAGTTTTCTTGTTCAAAGACGCAAAAAATTTTGATGAGTGCTTTAGTGACTGATAGAACTTTTTTCACTTGTTCTAGAAGTTCCTTGAAATTTGGGACTTTGAATTTTTTCACTCAAAAAAATAGTAAATAGATTTAAAGAAACGTCATTAATCTTAGTTCTAAAAAAATCTTCCAAAAGTTATAATTTTTTTATCCACTACAAATTAACAAAATCATCATTTGCAGATAAACAGAAAATATCGAAGAATTATACAAAACTTCCTCAGAGTAGAAAAACCAAAAAAAAAGCGGTTAAAAGACCAATCCATTTCAAAACAATCACGTTTAGCCATCGCTCAAAATATGATTTCAAAGTGAGCGTTCATACTTTTCACGCTTTAGTAAAACATGACAACAGGAATTGAAAAAAAAAGTTCGAAACGCAACAAGTTGAGAGTCATGAAGTCGATAGAAAAAGAAAGCTTTTAATCCCTGGTCCTTTCTTTGTTATTGAAAAACAGATTTTTCAAAGTGTTGAAGGGGTCATTCAGGGTTATAAAATAAGGACTCCTAAAATTTACGAATTTCTATCGATATTTGGATCAAAAACATTTTAATGTTGAAACTGAGAGGTTTCAAATCCACTATTTTATGATAAGAACTTATAGAAGTTTGTTTTCAATTCGAAATTTTCGAAACGCAAAAATTAAGGCCGCTGTTCTATACAAAACTCGTAGTTTCGAGGCTTTGGACCACGAAATCGGCTCTAACAGCTCACCAAAAAGCAATTTCACAACAACAAGTCGCGTCAAAAAAAGACGATAGAAATCAGGAGATGCTCGGATTAGCCCCACCAAATCTTCATACAGATGTGGGATTCCCTGAGGATCAAGTCTTCGTCTCCGCTCCACCTCTCATTTTCCATTTAGATTTCAAGTTGTGTATTTGTGTAATATTTTCGTGGATTTAAAAAATCCAAAACTGTTTCGGGGTTAAAAGTAAATATATAATTTTGAATGAAATCTGAATATTTCAAGATAAAAACTGCTTCGCGACGTCTGTCCATAATCCTCTCACCTTAAATGGAAAAAAATTGTCTATTCAACGATTATTAGGTCGCAAACGAAAGAAAGTACATATAATTCAATCATTTTCTTTTGTTTACGCAGTTTCCACGTTTATACTTGGGTCCGGTTTTTCGCCTAACTTTAACACTTCTGACTCCGCCTACCTGCCGAGAAATAAAAATATCTCGATTGCATCTATTACTACAACTCTTAAAAATAAATATGATACTGGGCGAAATTTCTTCCCTCTTCTCGGAATGAAAAAAAATAGAAAAAAAAAGTTATATATAGAAACGTACAAGCATGAGAGCCGTAATAGGAGTTGCGGTTGTTGTGAGGAAGATGAGGATGATGGTACACCCGCGGATTGTACATGCTGTGCGTTCGTGGGGGCGGAGGACGGCCGCCAACGACGTCACAGCCACGGCGACCTGCGGTTCCGCCACGCGACACCCTCAGCATCGCCGACGGATCGCACTCCTCGACGATGACGCCGTCCGCAGCCAGCCTTCAAAAGGCTCAGGTACATTAAGCATACAAATAAAATTAGGTTCTTAAAGTTCAAATCATCTTATTACTCTTTTTCTTTCTGCGAATTTCTTTCTTCCAAAAAAAAAATTACTTTGTATGGTTTCAAAGGCAAATCCTATTATTGCTTCCTAATATAGCTTCTCAACACCTTCTACTTGTCTTGTAAAAGCCTGCTGGAAGGCTAACGACTCGAAAAATTAATTTTTTTTTACCTTCCAGCTATTTTTTGAACACCTTCCAAAGGCCTTCTTAAGATCTTCTAGCTTTCATTCCCTTTCAAACCTCTTGCTGGTTACCTTTGCAACTTTCTCCCAGGACCTGCCTGAAAATGGTACAGCCTCTAAAAATGTCCGAGAAACTTTTAATAGTAAACCGGCCATTGGCAATTAAAATATTCTACACGTTTTACATGAATTTCAATGAAATATTCGAGTCTAACGTTAAAATATGTTCATGTTTTCAAAAGAAACCTATCAGCAAGGTGACTCATCGAGTCGGAAAGACTCCACGTCCTGCCGCCTACGCCGTTTCCGATGATGCCGGCCGTCGTGTACATCCCGTAGCTCATCAATACACTACCTCGACCACTATCTGAACAGTATCAGATGATGAACTACTGTAATCTGAAGTCTACTGTAATCAGTTTTCTGCACACCGATCCAAAGTTTTTTTAAAAATAAAATGCGGAAAAATAAAGTTGCGTTTTTCTTCAAATTTTCTGCGTTTTTTTTTTGAGAAGACCGTTCGATCTGCAACAAAAAAACTTTACAAGGTACTGCTTTCCCTTCAAACCCCGTATTTAACAAGTCGGGAAAAATTGACTACGTAAGCTACTTTGTCTTTTTTTTCTTTTTTTTTTTAAAGGTTTCCCGATGAATTTAAAATTTTTATGATTTTTAATCTTCAAATAGCTAGTCAAGTCATTTGAAATGACTATACTCTTGAGCTACATACAACCTTGAACGATCAGAAATATTCGATTTTTTTTTCTTTAAGAGAGCTCTTAGAAAATTGAGGTTAGTTATGAATATATGCTAAAAACTAACCGCACTCCGATTCAAAGACACTTATATTATTGTTGTTGCTGTTGTTGTTCCCACGAAAAGCGGCGCTCAACCGTCGTTTTAGCCTTTTCATCACGGCCTGAAAAGTTGGTCTTTTTGAGATTTGCAGCTAGAAACAAGGATCCGAATCGAGTGATGTTGACAAGCAAAAAATGTCTATACACGGATAAATCAAAGCTTTTCGACAAAAATAAACGGCATAGTTATCTCACTGCGTATCATATTCATTGACAGGATGTAGGGATATCTCGATTGACCTTTGAATAAACAATATTAAAAATAATAGGCTTATGAGCTGCATACGTAATAAAAAGTAAGTAGTTTAAATAATACTATACAAAAGTGCAGTAGAATAACCAGCAACGGGAATTAGTCCATCCTAACGAGTAGACTTTGACCCGGAGTAAGACAAAAATTAGAGTAATCGGTGAGGAGTAAGTCGAAAAAGGTCCAAAAAAAAATTTTCATTTTTCCTTTCTCAAAATTTCGCAACTTCGACATCACACTGTCATTTTTTTTCGGTCAAAAAACGAGAAAATTTCGAAATGTGGAGGGTTCCCGGGCGAAACTTACACATCTAAGAATTATTTCGTTTCGAGCAGGCTTTTGCATCAGTCAAAGGCTTCGAATAATATAATGTAACATTTCATCCTGACTTAAAACTTTTACCAAGGCTGGTTTTGAGAGAAACGGAGAAAGATAAACACTTTTTTTTTTGATAAATGTTTCGCTTTATTGATGAAGACGCCAATAGTTTTACTAAAAAAATCAAATGCAAAAAACGAACAAAAATGTGGAGAAGCAAAGAACAATCAAAAAAGTACACAATAGACTCGGGACATGGTTTTTCGCTATTGTGCCCCCTTTTCGCAGATGTTGAAGCGCTATTATAATACTTTTATCATCTTCAGAACGCTCCTATACTAAAACAAAATGAAAAATTTCTTCCATTTCTGTCTCGTTCAGCACCCATTTGAAAGTAACTGGGACAAGATGATGAAGTTTCCATTGATCCGAACGTCTTCATTTTCTCTAGTCTTACTTTTCAATCTGCTTTGAAATTTCACAGGGGAATCAAGGTATCCACAGTCAGTACGAAAATCAGATACGCGAAAAAGATAGTTATCCGCGGCAACATTATTATAAAGCTTCCTTATTCCTCGCAATTCAAAACAGCATTGGGATAGTATCCGAGCGCACGAAAATAAGCGCTGACAAGTTTCCGCACTCAATGAATCAATGATGTTTTTTTGCACTGTCTTTTGAAGCAATATCACACGAAAATTTGGTTTTTTTGACATTCGCAAATCATAAACGGTGTAACATGAATATTCAAAAAGGTAAAACGCGTCAAAAATCGAAAAAAATGGCAACCGAAAATGACAAGTTTTGCGATTTTGTAGGGGTAGAAAGAAGGCGGAACCGAAAAACGGCGTGGAAAAGAAGCGCTGAGATCCTTAAAAGGAGCTCATTTCGACCCTTGGGCACGAAATTTAGTTCTCAAAGTATAGTCAATTTCAATTCAACGAGATTGAAGGAAACGCTTCCAAAAGTAGTTTTTTCCTAGGAGACATCGATCTATTTGCTGCTGTTTTGGGCTAATTTTTTCGAATTAGAGTGATTGCATATTACTCAATTTTTTATTAATCTTCAATCAAAAACTCTTTTTTATTAACTCAAAATTCAAACACTACTAGATCAGTAGTTTACACTGGAGTCGGTTACAAGATTTTGATGTTATTGTTGAACATTTGAATAAATTGGCGTCATTGTGAGTCACATGAAGAGGCCGCATACAAGAGGTTTTGATTCGAAAAAAATTGTCTAGTGCTCTGTATTATAAAACAAGATAAAATACGACAAAAACCCTGAAAACAAAATAAAAAGAATAGGCCGCAAATGTGTTCAACTTCGGAAATTTCGAGCGAGAAAAGGCTGTGGAAAAATTTTGTCCCCGAAAATCCATTATTATCATATTATCTCTATCCCTTTGTTTGGCCTCGTTCCATCCGAGTCGTCGACCCACAACACACATTACAAATATCAAACCACTGGCAACGATTACTGTAATATTTTTAAATCCATCGGTAAATTTTTAGCTTATGAGTCTATTAATCGAAAAATAGGTCCTGCACAGATTAAATATACCGTAGGGCGCCAAACCCAGATCTTTTTTCTGCATTTCACTTAGAGAGTCGTGAATTGAGCTTATTCCGCTGGAATTTACTATATAGATGATTCACGGTTAACTTGGGACGCAAAAAGGCGTGGTCTGTCTGCACTCTCCACCAACTAGGGCACTGTCTCGTCTCTTTTCGTGGCAGGACCCTTTTCGCGATGGCTCAAGCCAGCCGTGAATCAGCTATAACAGGACTCCAAGAAAGCGAGAAGTTTGGAATTAACCCCTAATTTTCCACCTTCAAAGCTCATAAAAATGATCTCGAAATTGTGAAAATTCGTCGTCTCTTCACATCGGTTGGATCGAAAGGAGCAAATTCATTGTTTTCTTTCATGAAAAGTTTCTCTGAACCGTACTGGAGTCATAAAAAAAAATTAACTTTAGGACAGAAAATCGGAAAAATCTAGCCGATGTTTTCTGGTATAACAAAAAGACCTTTAACGAAGTAAAATGAGTAATCAATTTTTACTAAATATCTTTGAGGGAAACATTTTTAGAGTTGAAAAATTTGGAAATAATTTCAAATAAAAATTGATGCCGTGCAAAGATCTTTATCTTTATAGGGTCTTTCCACATCGGGTGGATCAAAAGTAGCAAAAAATCGTAAAACCAACCGATTCTGTCTGGTTCAAAACATAGATCGTTAAAGGAGTGAAATCGGCACCAACTTTTTCTCAATAACGTTTAGGGGCAATCTGCAAGAGTTTGGACATCTTGGAAAGAACTTCAAAGAAATAATTGGTGCTGGGCGAAGATTCTTATCTTCATGCGGTGGAAAAAACATGGTGATGAAAAAAAAAGATAAGAGAGAAATATTGCCTTTCAGACTTTCCGAGCAAAAAAGAAAACTTTTAAAAAACTGTCATATTGGCTCAATTTCGGTTTAAAAATGGTTGAAAGTTGGTAAAGAAAAAATTTTTTTCAGAACTTCAAACTCTCATTAATTTGTTTTAGATTCTATCAAGTTCGAAAAAAAACCGAAGTAGAACTTTTTGTGTGTCACTTTCGAAAAAAATAAAACAAAATTTAAAAAAAGTATCGAAGAGAAATTGAATTCAAGTCAAGAGATTTTTGAGCGTTGATGGAAACTGATGGTTTCTCGTCGAGTCCTCCTTTTTGCACTTTTTTTTTGTGCGGTAGCGACGATGCTCAAACAAAATCTCGTGTGTTGCGTGACCGGCTCTGCAGTTGACAGAGTTGCGGATAAAGCTGCATTTTCAGACCGCTCAACTATTCATTCTGAACGGAAAATTTTTAGTGGGTCCTCATATCACTTGTATTGGGATTCTAGAGTTAGATTATCCAGTTTTTAAAAACACAAAGAAGTGTTATTTATAACGGATTTGAATAATGGAATCAAATTACAGGCAATGAGCACTTTGAAAAAAGTGCAAGCAAGTGAAAAAGTAAAAAAAAAACTTGAACGATTTCTATTTCGTTCAAAAAATTATCAAAAAAGAAATCGAATTGGCTCTTGGAACAAGTTTTGTTGCTAGTCAAAAGGTGAGCTGTTTACTTGATAAAAAGGAAAAAAAGTATGACTCTTTAGATAAGCATTTTTTTATGAATCGGAAAGAGGTGGAATCAATCTTTTTTTCAAAAAAATTTTATGCAGTGTCGAAGAAAAAAAACAGGCTCAATGGGGGGCAGAATGAACGAACCAATTCCAAAAAGGGCGAAAAATTCCACATTGTCAGTATCTGATTGAAATTTTTTTTTGCTACTTTAGAGCAACTTTACATTTCATATTCATGAAGACGAGATAATTGAATGAGCATTATAAAAAAGTAAATACTTCAGTGATCAAATCACTTTAAAAAAAGAACAAAATCCTGACCAATAACACATAAAAAGAGCACCCAATAGAAAAGAAAAACATTTAAAAGAACGTAAACTACAACTTCAAGGGCGTTGGCTGATCTCCCAAGCCTTTTTTTACACTTGCTGCTGGTCTTTTTTCCCTTCTATCTTCCTTTGGCCCCAATTATGGACCAAGACAAAAGCCGCAAGTGTTCGCGCCGCCGAACCAAGTGCCGCGTGAAGACCTGATCTGGTTTTGCCGCCTCCATTCATTTATCAGCTATACAGAGATTTTTGAACGGATTCAGCAGCTCTACTTTGGAAAAAGGATAGAAGTTTGGATAGAAACCCATTTTTAAATGTATGCCGTGTTCAAAGTTATTCCGTGAAATGCAAAACAACCGTCAGAGAAAGAAAAAGATCAAAAATTAGGAAAGTTAGAGATAGTTTTGCATTTCGCGGAAATTACTTTGAACAGGACATTACATTCAAGGGTTACCATGTCGATTCTATGGTACGAATAAGGGAGACTTCTTGAGAAAAAAAACAGATGGTAACGGAACCTTTTCCGGCTTTTTCTTTTACTTATCGTTTTTTTTTTCTGAAGGGGTATTTCCCATTTATTAGGCTCTTTTTTTTTCTTTTTCACTCATGAAATGATCCTCTTATCCGTATTGCAATTTGAAGAAAAAAACTAACTTTGAGTCAGAAAAAAAGTCGGCAAAAGTTTCGTGAAAAAGCTATCGAATTTTTCGCAAGCAGTCTGCAGACACGCGATAAATTCGCACGCAATTTTGCGGCCTTCGAAATCGTCGCTGTAGCAAATTGCGCTAATTTTTTATTCGTTATTTTCGAATGTTGAAAACCTCGACTAAAAAATAATACTAACTACTTGTTCAATAATTCAGCCGAATGGCAAAAAAACAAGAGAGCGTAAATGATAAAAAAAGTAGTTCAGAACTTATGATAAATATATCCCTAAGAAAAAAAGTTGCACGATGAATTTAGGGAAACCATAGCAGTGAGCGAGAACGATCAGAAGGCGATAGAAGACCAAATGAGGGCGAAATTTTCAAAAAGAAAGAAAAAGGCAA